TTGGGTAATGAATCCATAAAATCCCATCTTTTTGTCTTCATGTTTGCAACCAGCAAAGTCCAATGTTTTTCGTTTATGATGGGAACAAACATAATGTTAGCATTCTTAACAGCAGCTCGGGTGATATTCTCCACAAATGATGTTGTTTTCTCCTGTTTATTTTGAATATAATAACCCTGGAAAAAAAAGTCATTCATTCATTTAATGATATACACTATATCTTTACTATAAATGATTACTCACCCAATGAAAAGTAGAAACATATAGAAAAGGTTGGTTCAGTCCTGGAACCAGTTTGTTTTTTTCAGATAAAAGAAATGCAAAAGTGTCCATATGATTGGTGTCAAGCTCTTTGCATAGCAACAATTCATCTATTTGGCTTCTAAAAATAATTGCATTTCCATTCGCCAATATGGTATCCTCCCTGTATAATTTTTCTCACCATCGTTAGGAAAAACTTATTAATCCTAGTTGTACCGAGTTTTTAAATATCGGTACAACTCGGTATTCAGTATAAAAATAGCAATACCGAGTTGTACCGAGTTTTTTATTTCTCGGTACTAATCAATATTGCGAATAAAATCATGTACTTGACGTTCATATAGGAGAAAAAACCTAATAAAAGTTAAATACCGAGTTGTACCGAGTTTTTAAATATCGGTACAACTCGGTATTCAGTATAAAAATATCAATACCGAGTTGTACCAAGTTGTACCGAGTTTTTTATTTCTCGGTACTAATCAGTATTCCGAATAAAACCATGTACTTGACGTTCATATAGGAAAAAAAACCTAATAAAAGTTAAATACCGAGTTGTACCGAGTTTTTTATTTCTCGTTACAACTCGGTATTGTTAATAAAAGTACGTACTTTTTTGTGTACTTCTTAAGAAAGTTATCAATGGTTTTCCTCTTGTCTTCATTAAGTAATAATCGTCCTGGGTAATCCAAAAATCCCTTGGCCGTACGTTCTATATATTTGGAATCCTCAACATCATAAATTGCAGTTTTTTATTTTTCAGCGGTTGGAGCAGAAGGAGCAATTTTTTTAGGCGCAAAAACTTTATTAGTATCAGTTAACTTCTCTTTCAG